CCGGGCTACTCTTATAGGGAAGCCTTAGCACGCTTTGGGTACTTTACCTTGCCTTGCCTTGCCTTGCCTTGCCTCATCTCACCTCACCTCATCTCATCTCACCTCACCTCACCTCATCTCACCTCACCTCACCTCACCTCACCTCACCTCACCTCACCTCACCTCACCTCACCTTACCTTACCTTACTAGTTGACTACTGTATATATTGAACTTTACATGCACAAGACAGTCAACCTCGTTTTTGCACGATTTTTTTTCCCAGGAACGGTTCTGGAGATTATTGCATGGTGGACGGGGTAGAGCCCCCCTTGGCTACGTCACCCCGAATTTATAAGCTTGATTTGGCATTAACAGTTTGATATGTAACATAACAGTTTGATATGTAATGCACTGATCTATTCTTATTATACAGGTCCAGAAAATGGCGTATCACTGAGTAAAAAACAATGCCATTATAATGGGAAGAGTTACCAACAGGGAGAAGTTTGGAATATTCCCATGGAAAAAGAAATTGGAGATAATAACTGTGCTGAATGTACCTGTCATGTAAGACTATCTGTTCACCCTGGACGAATTCGGAATCGTACGCAAATTCGTCTGGTCCCACCTGTTCACACGGGAATTCGTAGCTGAGCTCGAATTAGCCGAGCTTCCTATGTGAATAACACAATCAGGGAAAGTTGAGTACGATCTCGAATTCTAAGTGAGTCAGTATTTTTTCTGTGCTGGTGTTGTGTACTCAGGTGAATAATATGTTTGTGATGTTACTCTGAGTGCATATCCACACCGGGCGAGCTTGAAAAATATGCCCGGCCACGATGGGATTCGAACCTACGACCTTTGGAATACTAGCCCAATGCTCTTCCAACTGAGCTACGCGGTCAGGACAGTTCGAATAAGTGCTCGTAGCGTAACGTAGGTTCGAATTATCCCATCGTGGCCGGGCATATTTTTCAAGATCGCCCGGTGTGGACATGCACTCAGAGTAACATCACAAACATATATTCACCTGAGCACACAACACCAGCACAGAAAAAAAAAATTCATATTACAAGAACACATTGGTATTGAAGGAACTAGATACTGTTCCGAAATATCACTTACTCGAACCGTCCTGACCGCGTAGCTCAGTTGGAAGAGCATTGGGCTAGTATTCCAAAGGTCGTAGGTTCGAATCCCATCGTGGCCGGGCATATTTTTCAAGCTCGCCCGGTGTGGATATGCACTCAGAGTAACATCACAAACATATGAGTCAGTATTTATTCCTGAAAAATCATATATTTGACATTTAACTGATCAAACTGAACCAACCGTTTTTCTTCTATAATCAATTAAGTCAAAGACACCAATATTGAAACTTGTCCAAATAGTGGAAGTTAGACTAAATTAGATGAAGTGACAAGTATGTCCCAATGACAATACTTTAAAGAACTAAACAGGGCATGTCTATGTGAAAGTGATGATTCGTTTAATGCATATATCTGAGGATGATCGAATTGGAGTAACGCCTGTAAAGCTCACTCTGAGCTTCCCTTGAGTGTCAGTGCTGTTTTTGAAGAGCAAATAAAGGAGGCAAAATAATGCATCAATGTGACCACTCATCAAGAATATCTAATAGTTATAACTTTAACATATTAGATTTGCCATTTAAATGTTAAACCTATAAACACTAATTTCTTGTCATATTATCAGCTCGTGTGTATCTAGCTGAATAAGAAGAGGAATGTTCACTCACGTTAAAATAACGTTAGAAGGATGGTAGAAGATAACAAATGACTCCCATAACATTATTACCCTTTCTTTGCAGAATGGACGAGTGTCCTGCGCTGTTCGTATTTGTCCAAAGTTGAAGTGTGCGACCATAATGCAAGTTAAAGGAAAAGATTCTTGTTGTACACATTGCCGAGGTAGAAACAATACATGCATAAAAGTTCATTTTTGGTTAAAACACAAAATAATATATTCAATAACTGTAAAAGAATAAAATATTATTATATGATAGAATGCAACCATATATTATTATATTATTAATTTTAGTTAACTTTCCAGGTTTCCCGCTTGCGCCAATTGGTGGCTTATTTCAGTTTAAGCCTGCAGTAACTGTTCAAGGTAAGCACTTATAATTACATTCCTTTGAGATCCTACAAGCATATTTACGAAACATACAGTATCACTGCAGGCAATAATTGGAATTTTTGTACCCGGCGCAATACGTAAAATCTTGAGTATATAGCCAGTCCATTTAACTTAAAGAAGTTGTTTTATGTTTCCAGGTTCTTGCTTTGACAAAGGACGTTATTATAAAAACAAAGATATGTGGAATCCTTTAGTATCCACGTCAGAAACTAAAGCCTTCCAACAGCCAAACTGTGATCTCTGCGTTTGTCAAGTACGTTTAAGCATATCACTTTCGAGCATGCATGCCGTGTTTGTCCAGAATTAAAATGGACAAA